TCCCGGCCCCCCTTGGGGAACCCCCCCCCCCCCGCCGCCAAGTCCGCTGCTTCCCTCGCTCTGCTCCTCTTGTGCTTTCATTTCCCATCCCCACCTCTAGAAATAGGGGACGGGTGTTAGGATTTGCTTTAGACTCTTCTGAGTCACGTTGCAAGGGGTTGGAGGGGGTACTAGGGGGAAGAGACGGTGGTCAGTGGTATTTGGGGTTGGATGCCAGGAGTATCTGAAGGGGGAGAGGGAAGGAGGTAGAGGGAAGCAGACAAATCCCGGTTCTCTCTCTTCCCTCTCCCCACCCCAGCCATCTGGCTCTAGAGTGGAGCCAGGCACTGTGGCAGCTGACCCCAGTGTCAGGGAGGTGCAGCAGGTATACAGGGAGAGTGAGAAAGGGGGAGCAGGTGCTAATTTCTCTCTCCCCATTCTCTTCATTACTTGTCCACTGGCTTGGCTTGAGGGAGGTTCAGTCTATTCCCTAGACACTCTTCTCACAAGTTGCTGATAAAATGACCATTTGCCCCTTCCCCTTTCTAGTAGCTTCCTAAAGGGAAGTGGGTGGGTGATCGGTCACATCTGATGGGACTGTCTGGGGGTGCGTGGGGTCAGTCTGTCCTCTGTCGTCTGGATGGGGGTAGAAGTACAGCTGCTGCATGGGGTGGCTTCTGGCAAGAAGTAAACACCCAGCTGTTGGGTATATTGGCACCCCACCCTCATCCTTCCTCAGAGAGCAAGGAAGAACTCTGATTAGATGGGATGAGGCAGCGTTTCATTCAGAGATGAAGGTTATTGTCTTTCTGTACCAGATGGAAAGAATGGATCCTGCCCCATTTTCTTTTCTAATCCCAGGTGGTCCTCTTCTGTCCAACACCTCTCTTCCCAACTGCTGCTGGCTGGTATAGGCCTAGGGGTTACCCTGGAGACTAGGCCTGGGGCTCGGAAGGGGTGGGGGCAGTCAGTGGGGCACAGGAGTAACCGGCTCTTCCGGAGCAGAGTGGAGCCAGCGGTGGGTGTGTGTGGGTGTGTGGTGGTGGGGAAAGAGGCGTGCCTACACCCGTTCGACTGGCGCAGGCTCCTCCCCTGCCTGCCCAGTTTCCCACTGGCTAGCCCTAAGATTGGGGGCGGGAGGTAGGAAGATTCACCCTTATCTGCCCTGGAAAAGGGAAGAGAAAAAAGAATACCAGCTCTCCTTCCCTGCCCACCCTCCTGCTCTGGCCAGTTCCTTGCTCTGAGCTTTCTTCTCTATCAGCTTTTATTTTTTATTTTGGGAACAAGGAGGCATTCCTTAGCAGAAGTTTCCTGGATTCCTCCTTTCTCCAGAAGGAAGGACACCTTTTCCCTGAGTGTGGCGTCTACTTAATCAGGGATTTGAGGTCGGCAGGCTGTTGTTTTTTTCTCATGGTGACCTATAAATCTGTTGTTTTGACAGGGAGGAGAGAAGGGTTTTGGTTTCTACCTGTCTTCTTCCCTGGTAATCTACTTAGCTCAGGAAGGGGAGAGAAACCCCCTTTAGCCTTCTCTCTCTCTCTCCCTCTATCTCTCTCTCTCTGGTTCACAAACTTTGTGAGGCTTTGTTAAAGTTAGCTTTCTTCTTATCCTCTGAGCCATTTTTAGTGGGGGTGGGGTGGGGTGGAGTCTGTCCCAAAACTCAGGAAGAGCCCACTTCTCTGTGGAGTAAGGAAATCCAATCTAGACTAATCGATTTGGCCCTGCCCTGCCCCCTCCCAGTTTTCAGGTATCTTTCCAACTTGGACCCTCAGAGGAAAAGGTATGTGTTGACATTCCCCCAACATGCCAGAATTATCATCCCCACTCTGTTGCTCTTCCTGAATATTCAGTCTGAGCTTTGCACAGCTTAGGCAGTTTCTAAAACTGCATTGCATTGAATTGAATGGGAATTATCTTAAAGCCTACAAAGTGCTGAGTTGCAAGGAAAGGAAACCTGGTTTCCTTGTAGTCATAATTTATCCACTGTTTGACCTCGAATAAGTCAGTGAACCTCTCTGGACCTTAATTTCTTCATCTGATAAATGAGAGATGGTTGAATTAGAAATTCTCTAAGCTCTAACATCATATGACACTGTTCCCCAGCCTGGGGCTCTGCAGTAGACATTTTAGATGACAGTCAAATTCTAGTCTTCTGCTAGATTTTAATGTTCGTGTTCTCAGGTTTCATACAGTTGTGTGGTCCTGCCAGAAAAAGGACTGGAACTATAGAATAGGTGGACAGTTGGGGCGTCTCATTTCATGGTCAGTTTTTGGCTTATCCTCTACCCCTCTGACCTCAGTTAGACTAAAATCAGGTCTTTGTTGTCTTGTCCTAAAGCCGAGCCTCTTTTTCCCACGCACAGGAATCTTTCTGACGCCCAGGACCTTGCTGATGTTGACAGGAAAGTGGTGATCCAGGCAGGACCAGGCTGCCCCTACAGGACAGAAGTGAGTGGGTTGCAGACTCTTGCCTCTCTCCATCCCTTTACCAGGTCTGAATCCAGCACTGACTGACTTTTGCACTTCCACTTTTCCACTACCCCGCCTAGGAAATAACTGACTCAGAAATACCTCCTAGCGTCCCCTTTCCCCCCAGTTAGGGAAGAGGCGCATGCCTTTGGTCGTAGAAATTTGGCCTAGACTTTTAGGTCAACCTTGGGACTATGGCATACCTTTTAGTTTGCCATGTGTGGAGCAGGACTACAACCTGCAATGAGCTGCAGGTGCAGAGAGGGAACAGCCAGGTGGACAAGGGGGCCAGGGTTACAGGAGACAGAGCGGCGCTAGGACCCAGATCCTGGTCGGGAAAGCTAGGATACCGGGCGCTAGGACCCTGCGGCGGAGGCCGCGGAGGGCGGCTCTCTTTTGGCCGCAGCCTCCCCGCGGAGAGACGAGCCCCGTGTACGGCAGGACGCCGCCTCAGGTTTGTGGGGTATGTGGCCGGGGGCCTGAGGGGAGGGAGCCCCGCTCTCATACGAGGCTTCCCTCAGGGACAGAGTCTCCTGAGCCCGCTTGAGCCTCCCATGGGGCGCGTAGCGAACTGGAGCTTATATTTTGCGAGGACCCAGCCCTAAGCGGGGTTCTCCCTGTTTTGGGGGCTGGGAGGAGACGGGGGCTGGCGGGTCTGCTGAGTACCCCGGACTGCGCTGCGGGGGCGGGAGTAGCTGTAGCGGCTCCCGGCGACTACGGTGACGAGCAGGCGGAGAAGCCGCCGGCTGGTGGAGATGACTCCTGCGGGGGACGAGGGGTGGAATCCCCGGGAGGGGCTCCACCTCCCGGGTGGGGGTGGGGATTGCCCGAGTGTGAGGGGTAGGTGAGGGGGTTCCCTGGATGGGTTAAAGACTGTGGGGGGTGGGGCATCTTGGCTGCGGTGAGTGGCGGGCAGAAGGGGTTTCCAGGGGTCCGAGGGTGTCTCCCTCGGGGAGCGCGCACGTTCTCTTGAGCGTGGGGAGGAGAGGGCCTTGCTGTGGTAGTGGGTTTGGCTTGGGGCCCTCGCGTCCCGGGAGAATTCCCCGCTCCAGGGATGGGGGTTGACAGGGCTCATGCTGAGGTGTCCGGATTTGAGCTTGGCTGAGGGGCTGAAGGGAAGAATAAAGAGGGATTCCTTTTCAAGGAGATCCCTCACTAAGGGGATCCCCGTTTCCTGGCAGAGAAGATGATCTAGTCCCTTTCTCTCCCGGTGTCCCGGTTTTCAGGGGAAGGCAATACCAATAGCAGACTTCCTTTGTAGAGTTTATTGGAGTGAGGGATTTGTATCCTTTGGGGGCGATGGGGGGATAGCTTCCATCTCCATCTGTACACAAACAGCCCCTCCCCCAGCCTCCCGCAGGAAGTGGCCGGGAAATGGCAGCTGTGCGTTTGCTGCTGCGTCTCTTGTTTTGAAATGTCCATTTTAATCAGGTTTGGTTTCATTTTGTGAGGCCTTCTGGGCGAGCTTGGATCCTTCCAACCATGTGGTCTGAGAGACATTTCGTTGGTGGTTTTTTTTTTTGGGTGGGGGGAGCTTGTTAAACTTAATTTGTCAACTGGAAGTAATCACCTGCGGTTGACTCACAGATCCTGAACCCTCACTCCCGAGCATCTCTGTCTCCCCGTCTGGGATTTTTTTTTCCCCTTGAACTAGAGGTCATAGAAAAGCAAACTCAGTTACCCACCAGCAGGGTACATGCTCAATACAAGTGATGCAAATTATCTTAGCATAGAGAGCTGCCAGGAAGACTTGGCATCTTTTGTGACATGAGAGTGGCTTTTTGTTATTCTGCTTAGTATGTTCTTAAGTATGGCAGTTTCTGTATTGCAGAGCATCTAAACAAGTGAGCTTGTGAAGAGAAGGAGGGTAGATTCTGAGAAGTGGAGGAAGAGGTAGGGATGGGAAAGATTTAACTGTGAATGAGATTTGTTGGGGTAGAGACTGATTTACAGAGTGGGAGTGGTGAGCTTGTTCCTCAGTGGTGATTCTAGCCTAAGGACAGTCCCTGTGGGAAGTCTGTTGAAGTAGGATTCTGAAGATTTTACCTTCTGCAGAACCAACTAATTAGAACAGGAGAGTTTGCTGTCGTATGACTTACTCTTCAGTCAATAAAAGAACATCTCTCTTATTACTCTTCTAGGGGAGTGGTAACTTTTCTTCTGTTCTATGCAGTCATGCACCCAGATTTTCTCTTTTTCCCACCTGATATCTTCAGGAGATTAATCATATAACATACGGTGATGGACTGTGTACTGTGTCTCTTCAGGCATTTAGTTGCACATTGGGTTTGGTTAGGGACAAGAGTTAGCCCTGGGGTTTTAGATTTTTAGAGATGAAGTACTAAGGTCATTTGGACTATCCTGAAAACTACGTAAGCCTGGCATTTAAATAATCTTACTATTTTCCAGTCAAAAACTTCCCTTCTGGATGTAGATCCCTACATCAGAGATCCAGGATAGGAACAGGTAGACATATATGAATGTGTCAAAGTGGCATCATCATTACTAGTAAGATAGCATCATTGCTCTTTTCACTGGGGCAGTTGAGGTAGTCGACATTCTAGAAACAGTAAAAACGAGTTCATCTGGTGTTAATGTCCTTTTCCTTGCCCCTCTGCTAAGACTGGTTGGTTCCTTTGATTTGCTTTCTGATAGGGTTGATTTGACTCTAACTTTAAGTTCTCCTTCAACTTTTGCTTATCTAAATTGGGACTTGACAGAACAGTAAATTGGTTTTCTCTGTTGAGGGTTAAAAAAATGAAGAAAGAAGAAAAGACCATTTATTCTTTGTGCTCTTTAAAATAAATAGAAGCTGATTTTGAGAAAATAGAGACTTCATTTGATATATGATTGATCTGAAAGCTGAATGAAGCAAAGCTTTCATGGCCTCCTTGTAAAATGGATGCAATTTTCTATCAGAGAAGTGGGTTTCTTAATATTGGCTGGTCCCTTCACCACCCCCTAGAGCCTCTCCCTGACAGAAAAAATTTGAGGTATAAAAAGAACTATGTTGGCTGGCCTCAGAGTCAGTCAGAAATCTAGAATGCCCTGAGAAGCTTATCTTGCAATCTTGTGGTTCTGGAATCAGGTGTTACCTAGAGAGAAACAAAGCTTGTTGGGGTTACTGACTGTGTCTTCTTGCTGTTGACCTCTCTTGTTACTTCAGAAGAGGTCAAGCACCAAACTGCTGTATTATTTTACTGTTAAAACATTATAGAAATTAGTAGGGCTGGCCCGTGGCTCACTTGGGAGAGTGTGGTGATGATAACACCAAGGCCACGGGTTTGGATCCCTATATAGGGATGGCCGGTTAGCTCACTTGGGAGAACGTGGTGCTGACAACAGAAAGTTAAGGGTTAAGATCCCCTTACCAGTCATCTTTAAAAAAAAAAAAGAAATTAGTCAAAAATTGGTGTGATGTTTGACCTTGAGCGAGATGTGTAAAGTGAGGCAATAATGCGAAAGGTTTTATGTCCTAGGATATAGAGTAAAGTATAAAACTCCTGGTATTTCCCGGGGCAGATAAGCTTCCTGATTTGTTTCCTAGGATGTTGGTATCCTCATATGCTTCATAGGACGAGATGAATACTTCCTCAGCATGGTCTCATGTAGGTCAGAAGGACTGTTTTCTACCAGCTTGTCAGTCTGCATAATTTCGAAATTTAAAAATTCTGCAAAACAGAAAACTTGTCTTCTTTGAAAAGATCTGGAAATTGTTCTTGTCATAGCAATAAAAATAGCATTGGTTTAGTGTTTTGTCCTACTTAAAGAGAAGATTTATTAAGGGGGCATTTTACAGACTAAAAGAATACTGTAACCTTATCAAAAATTAGTCCAAAATAAGGTGATGAAGAGAAAGAAGAAGAAGGAGATTCTTAGGAGACAGGTAGTTTTACTACTTTTTGTTTTCTGAGATTGGACTCTTCATAACTTGCCTCACCGATGGGGTCCTTAACCTGCCTGCTCAGCTCATTTTGAGGGGGAGGGAATATTTTCTTGGAGAAAAGGATGGAGTCTTTAACTGTTAGAGTTGAGATTCTGAGAAACAATGAGGGCTGAAAGAGGGAAATAACCTTGTTTTAACTTCTGAACTATGGCTTTTTAGTGTCCTGCAATTTCAGAGGTATTCCCAATCTTCTGATAGTGAAGTGACCAGAGCTATGGAAGAAAATCTTACCTAGGTTGTTATGTGGTTTCTTTATTTAGTTAACAAATATTTAAAAAACCTACTATGTACCTTAACTATGTAGTTAAATCAAGCAGGACATTTTACTGATTTAGAGTTTAAATATATTGCCTTCTTACTTTCTCAGTACTTTCTTGTTTCTAGGCCTTATTTTCTGTAAGGGATGACTATCTAAAATACATCAAGACTTGGGCCCTTTTTTCTCCTCTAGAAGTTTTTATCTCTATGAAAAACAAAGCTGAATTTTTTGGTTCTCTGAAAATAGTAGGAGCAAAGCCCACAACCTTTATTGGATGAGTAAGCTGGTAGTGGCAGAAAAGGTAGATTTACGGGCCGGCCCGTGGCTCACTCGGGAGAGTGCGGTCCTGATAACACCAAGGCCCCGGGTTCGGATCCCATATAGGGATGGCCGGTTAGCTCATTGGGTGAGCATGGTGCTGACAAGACCAAGTCAAGGGTAAAGATCCCCTCCCCGGTCATCTTTTTTTTTTTTTTTTGTCCTTTTTGAGACCGGCCGCACCGCGCTCCGCCAGTGAGCGCTGTGAGCGCACCAGTCATCCCTATATAGGATCCGAACCCGCGGCGGGAGCGCTGCTGCGCTCCCAGCGCCGCACTCTCCCGAGTGCGCCATGGGCTCGGCCCTACTGGTCATCTTTTTAAAAAAAGAAAAAAAAAAAAAGAAAAGAAAAGGTAGATTTACTTATTCACTTGTTCAGTCCATGGGTTCAATAAATATTTCCTTTGGTTTTTTATGTACCTAGCAGTAAATTAGGTGCTGGAGATATAATGGTAA